TACTGTGGGTACTTGTCTGTTCTAACTGAAACGGTATTGTAATAACGTTTTGACCGCATTTTGTATAATTAAAAATTGACCTATCACCGTAAGGATACTCATGATTTTCAGATTTAGTGCTATCATTTTGTATCAAATAGTAAGTCACATTATAACAACGTGTATTGAGCTAATTTAGGATAGACGTTGTTATCCTAAATCTATATGATGTTTGAGATCAAGTTAGGGTGATAGAGCACATCCCTAGACAAAATTATATCTAGGGATATCTTTTCAAACGATATGTACTAAAATTGAGAGTTGTGTACATTAACAGATATGATTTACGTCATTATGGATTTTCAAAATGAGCTGATTAAATTTACCTCACAAATACTCAGGCAAGTATTTGGTTTCAATAAGTTTTACCCATGACACATTAATCTTTGGATATTTCTACGTTCTATGTTTAAACTGTTACAACCGGAAGTTCACTATACCATTGTAATGATCATAGTAGAAAATTGCCCTAATTTTCAAGACGGATTTAAACGGAACCAATTATAAATGTTCTCCTATACAAGTTAATCTCAGTACCTATCAAGTTTCTAGCTATTTTGTACCCTATACTATAAATGTGTAATTTAACATATAGCGAGTTAATAGATAACCCTTTTAAACACTATATAGGAGATTACTCCACAAATATTAGAGCCTTAATATTTTGAACGATAAAAGTGCAACCCACTTTTCATTATATAAGAATATCTTGATGTGTGTCATAAATTCGCAATCATCCCTTGTATATGATCATCCTTATGATTTAATAGACTCTATATATTAAATCTGTTATGTGTGATATTGGAAAGTAAACACAGGAATAAATTTAACCCTAATCTTCTAACTATATGCTAAACAGACCCTCATACGTTTTAAGGACATTGCCTGAAGATAAGTACATATTTTGCAATATTTCTGTGAAACGTTTAATACGTATAATTCCAAAATTTTTCATAAACTGACCGATAGAAATAGGATAAAGTGCAGTTTTAGCGTAACGAAATTACAGAGTTTCCGATACGCCGTATACATTTAGTTTTTATCCTAAGTGCACTTATATCTTATAAAGGACGTAATATTGTGAATATGTTTGAGGATAGAAAAGTTGGACGTAAAGATTTTCTTAATGAGATATAACAACTTAGACCATAATAAGTTGTTTAAAAGCCTAATCTGAAACATTTGTGAATTTATGGTTTATCTTTGGAAAGACAATTTTGAGTTCTAAAGCTTTTGTTCCAACTTCAATTACAATAAATGAAAAGGTATTAGTATTAAAATTATGGTTGTATAAGTGTATCACTAAAAATTGGATACGAAAACGCTAACAATTTTCATGCTCTACTCTGTCTCTAATTTATAATATATAGTGTAGTACAAAGGGTAAATAATTGAAAGAAGATATATACCTTAATATATTGAACACGGGACAATATAAAGCCTGATTTTAACGCTAAAACCTCTGAAATATTTGTGAATTTATTGTTAATCTTTACTTTTTACTTAATGCATTGTAATTGAAGTTGGAACAAAAGCTTTAGAACTCAAAATTGTCTTTCCTAAAGCTTTAATTTGTAAACGAGTTCAGAGTGAAATCTGAAATATTTCGAAACGTTTTAGAATAACAGCAAATTATTTGTGTGGATTAAGTTTTAGCACTAATAATTTCAAGATATTAAACGGTTAATATCTTAAAGTAAGGCTAATTCACCTTAATTGAAGTATCTATAGGTAAACTAACAAGTGGACATTTTTGAGTCATGTACAGTAATATGCTGAGAACTCTTATTGCTGTATTATATATATTGAACATCAAACGGTAAAATAAATCTCAGCGTAGATACTATAATCATTCCTAGAAATATATATAAAAGATTACTATTTTAGAACTAAATCTGAATATATTATTGAACCATACTATCCTCTATAACAATATTATAATGCTAACGATATTTTAGTGCCTATCTTGTAAGACAATGACTTAATAATAGAGATATGTACATTTAATCTAGGATGTAAAAATATAACCGCCTAGGATCAAACGAGTATCATCTAACGGAAGCAACTCTATTTGTTTATGTTGAATATGTTGTTTTGTTGATGACTAACCATGCAGGAACACAGAATGAACCGGTCTATAAACTTATTATAAACTTATTATTTGCAGGATAGACCTGGTCTTTATATATTGGTGAATAACCATGCAGGTTCCCTAGTACGAAGCTCGTTAATGAACCTGAGTTGGAACTACTCTATACTATTTCTGTGACTCACTTATATATATACTTGCATACATGATTACGTGACATTAATTTTGACTTGCAAAATAAAAGCACTAATAAAATACCTTTATGAGAAAGATCCTTAATTAATGCATCCACTTTTAAAGGAGGCAATTGTTTTTTAAATAAAGAACGTAGCATGATTAAAGGAAAGCTACTTTTTGAATAAATTCAGATTTGCTAAAAATCATTTACTGTTATGATCCGTTGGTCCTATTATGGAAAGATAATATATTGCTTTGATAACTATCCATTGCCTTGTGAGCTCGTTTGACTTGGATATATAGATGGAAGGTTCTTTAAATTAATTCAAGGCAAGAATCACAAGGCTTCAAAGGATCCACCTAAAAACCGACTATAAAAAGCAAAGGAGAAGAAGAGAAGAGGGTATGCTTGACCGAGAAAATACTTAGAAGAATAACTCAAGAAAAGGATCAAGCCTATGATGCCTGAAACTGCCTGCACGGAGTTCTAGATAGAGTTTTCTTTTCCCTTCTTCTATTGTAATTGAGATATTGAGGCCTAGCTAAGTGTAGCTGCCTCGGGTTGGGTTAAGTGTGTGTGAGGGCTTTGTGATAAAGCCGAGAGGCTCTCTACCCAAAAGGTAGAGAAGCATTACTCTTCCTAGAGAGGATAGAGTTGGGGAGGCTCAAGGGTAGATTAGGAGAATCACTCTTGTAATCTTTCCAAGGCTTGGTTTTAGTGAAGTTGTTCAAAATTCCTCCGAGGGAGGTCGAGGTTTTTTAATCCCTTTGAGCCAAGGGATTTTTCCTCGTTAAATACTTGTGCACTTTACTTATCTGCAAATCCCCTCTTCCCACACTAGAACTTGGCGAAAAACTGCCACGGTTCCACACACACACAATTCACCCCCCCTCTTGTGTTGCTAACCGTTTCATCAATTGGTATCAGAGCCGGTCTTCGCCACATAGAGGTTAATACCTTGGGAAGAGATCCGGCAAAATGAATACGGCTGACCGATTGGAAGAAGGTTACTCGACTCAACGACCACCATTGTTCAATGGCAAATACTATCAATTTTGGAAGAGTCGGATGGAGAACTTTATCAAAGCCGATAATTATCAGGTATGGAATGTGATAGAATGTGGGGACAATGTCATCACAAAACTAAACAGTGAAGGTAATGTTGTTCCAAAACCCAAAGCTGAATTTACTACCGATGATTATCAAAAACTCGAGCATAATGCCCAAGCTCTAAAATACTTAATTTGTGGTCTTGGTCCTGCCGAACACAACCGGGTTATAGGGCGCAAGACCGCAAAGCAAATGTGGGATTTGCTCGAGATTACTCATGAAGGTACCTCACGTGTAAAAAGATCTAAGATTGACATATTTATGCGTAATTACGAATTATTCGTAATGAAGCCTAAGGAGTCAATTAAGGATATGATTACACGCTTTACTAATACCATTAATGAGCTTTCAGCCCTTGGAAGAGAAATTACTGTGGAAGATCAAGTGAGAAAGATCTTAAGAAGCTTACCCCCAGAATGGAAGCCTAAGACCACGGCAATTGAAGAGGCAAAAGATCTATCCACCATGACTCTTGAAGATTTGACCGGTTCACTTTTGACCTATGAACTCGGACTTCAAGAGGAGCAAGATGCCGAGAACGTGAGGCGAGAAAGAGGAATAGCTCTAAAAGCTCGAGAAGAAGAGGAAGAATCCGAAAGTGAATCGGATGATGAGATGAGCATGTTTGCAAAGCAATTCGGAAGAATGTACCGAAAGTTCAAGAACAATCGCACCAAACAAGGTAAAAGGAGCACACAATCCTTTAATAACCAAGGTTGTTTTGTTTGTGGTTCTTTTGAGCACAGGGCTAAGGACTGTCCACAAAAGAAAAACGAGAGAACCTATGACAAGAACAAGTCTAGTTCCAACCGGAGGTTCAACGAAGACAAAGGCTTTAATAGAGATCTCAAAAAGGCAATGATGGCAGCATGGGGAGACTCATCTGATAATGAAGAAGAAGAAAATGATAAGAACTCTAATCAGGCGGGCCTATGCCTTATCGCACACTCTGACGAGGAATCCGACCAAGAGAGCTTCGAGGTAAATTTTGAAAATTTTCTAGCTAAGTTTGACACTCTATCCAAAACCAAAGCTCTGAAATTTTTTAAAAGTTTGACTATTGAGCTAAACCAAAACCTTTCTGAAAATGATCATCTTAAATCACAGGTCACTGAGCTTGAGTCTAAACTCGAGGAAGCCACGAGAGCCAAGATAAGGCTTGAAACAAAAGTGGGAGAGTTAATAGATGAAAAGCTTAAGTACAGTGAAGTGGTTTTAGAACAAGATCCAATCATTTGTTCCCTTAAGCTCGATAGTATGAACAAAAAGGTTGATCATGATGAAAAACTTCTCTCAAAAATTCCAAGTGTTGGTTGTTTAATTTATCATCTTCATCGTCTTGTAGCCGAGTGCACTGATTTTAAAAATAGACCGGAATACCAATCCTATAGTGCAGCAAACAAGACCAGGTCTAGACCTTATTCTGGAACTGGTCATTTTCAGCACAATAGAAAGAAAACCGAGACTTCAGGTCTCGGATATATTCATAGGGATTCTGTAACGACCGTCCCCAAACGACCATTACGATACTCAAACATAAACAAACTCAATATACAAAGCGGAAGTAAAGATATAAAGTCTCCTCATGAAACTTTATTTCTTATATACATAACCAAACTTCTTAACAAAAACATAAAGAAATCAAGATAAACCATCCGTAAACATAACCATTACACCTGATCAGGAGTTTTTGAAAACAAAATCTTTATCAAAACATATAAGTATCATAGTACTAATACAAAACATAACAGCCAGCCAGGTCTTCTCCGTTAACCCATCCAAAACCCTGTCACCAGCTCTGTACATTCTCTCAAGCTTCCATCCTTTATTCATTTCCTATACATGAGAACACGAGAGAATAGAAGTCTCGTGAGCAAAATTTTCTTAGTAAGTCACCATTTCATCCACTAAAATAACGGAGTCTTAGCTAGCCATAAATAGATACACAAGCTAAAATACTCAAAAGCATCTTACATAACCACATACAAAACATATAACATGACAAGCAAAGCTTCAAGTGTCGAAACTAAAGAAAAGTTTCTTTATACATCATTCTTTCTCCTTCACTTTGTCCTTTTCATTTATGGGCCCGTAGCTCGTGTCCTGGCCCCTCGCCGATGACCTCGGGTAGCTAGCCCGCAGCCCATCAGAAGTAACCCCGGGACTCCCCGCGGGAGGACGTCCCGCTACGCTCAGCTCAGGTAGTTACTTGGGGGCACGACTACCTTAAAACATTACTTATAATTACTTCATACAATTCGTAGAACTTGATTACTTCATATTCGATAACACAATAACTTCACAATTTACACACCGGTCAATCCATACATCTAACTTGGAGTTTACACAAATCTCATGCTATACACTTTCAAGTAATGAAGCAAGTATATCAATTCATAATTAGCTAGACATCCATAATTTATTTAAAACTATCATGTATAGGTGGTGATGACTTACCTGTCAAAGCCAAACTCAAACCGCTCAAATAAGGGTGGCACCTTGGTAACGTCTTCCGGTTAGCTCTTCTCTTATATCTTTAATTAAATGAAGTTTTAAAATAAGAATTTGCTTTGTGAATACAAATGGCCATACTACTGGAGTTTTAATTGTCTGTTTGACATATCAAAAGCTTTGGAAATCTAAAATTCCTTTTCTTGCTGCTACGAAGAACCAAAGAAAGACTAATTTTAAACTAGGAAACCCTTTTGATTTTTAAACATGCATGTTCCTGATTTAAGAGCAGCAAGGAATCAAGCATATAAATCAAACTAATAGAGATTCTAAATCTGGATGACAAACCATCGAGCATCTCAATACTATATTCGAACAATGAAACATCAATTAAATTCCACTTTATTGAGAAATAAGATTCTGACAGTAGAGAGCCCCTATTAAAATTGATGATTTGAAATCATCACTCAAATTTCCAAAACCATCACTTAAGGAATAATCGATCTTAACATTCAAATTTCCAAAGTATTCAAAAATCTGAAATCTGAAATGAAGTCTGCATGTTTGCACCGAATTAAAGTAATCATGCGACTAACTCAAAGGAAAGCAACTCCTCGAACACAATTATTTGCTCAGAAAAACTTAATTAATTGCTGTAGAACAAAGCTAACTAGACTGGGATCAAAGAAGCTGGAACAATCATTACTGTCAAAAGAAAGCATGGAGGCAAGGTGAATTTGACATACCGATTTCAGATTGTCACTAAACCCAGACTATAGCTTTAATCGAGAAGTTGAATCGGAGGAGAAGAGAAACCTGTTTAGAACAAATCAGGGGAGTGCGGCTGTTGTTAAAGAAGGGGAAAACAGGAGATCAGGAAGATGGGTTCCCCATCGATTTTATTTAGGCGGTGCGGCTACTGTTGTTGGAAAAAGAAACAAAGGCGGCGTATCTTTTAGGGCTCTTAACCCAGACACTGATTCGGCCCAGGTAACACATTTCGGTGTCTTAGTCTGCTAAAAAAATGCTTCTAGTTCCAAAAGCGGAATATTAACCCGATTGAAAAATATTTTAAAATAAACAGATATAAACTGATAAATTCAGCATATCATTATTTATTCATTTATGATTTCTGGAGCTTACCGGTCAACGTTACCTGCCATAACAATACATGATTAATAATAATCACATTACTCATAAAATAAACTTATTTAACTAACTAAATAAACAAAAATGATTAATATAACTAGCTTATAAAATCGGGGTGTTACAAACCCTCCCACCTTATAAAAGTTTCGTCCTCGAAACTTAGAATAACTCAGGGTAGCGCTTCCTCATGGCATCTTCTGGTTCCCATGTTGCTTCCTCAATTTTGTGATTTCGCCACAATACCTTGACCAACGCTATCTCTTTGTTCCTTAGTCTCTTAATCTCGCGATCAAGTATTTTCACGGGCCTCTCTTCGTAGGTCATATTCGGTTGAGTTTGTACTTGTGGAGGTACCAGGATATGTTCTGGGCTTTCAAAATATCTTTTGAGCATCGAAATGTGGAACACATTATGTATACCCGCCATCTCTTCAGGTAAGGCTAACTCATAAGCGACTTTACCCACTTTCTTGGTAATTTCATATGGTCCCACAAATCGCGGACTGAGCTTACCTCTCTTACCAAATCTCATCACCCCTTTCATCGGAGTGACCTTCACGAAGACACGATCCCCTTCTTGGAACTCAAGGGGTCGTCTCTTAGCGTCGGCATAACTCTTTTGTCGACATTGAGCTGCCTCAATCCGTTGTCGGATGGTTTTAATGGCCTCAGATGTCTCCTCGATTATTTCAGTTCTACCCTCGAGTTGTTCTTCCATTACTCTCTTTTCCCCACTCTCAAACCACGTGATAGGGGACCTGCATCTTCTTCCGTACAACGCCTCGTAAGGAGCCTTACCAATGGTGGCCTGGTAACTATTGTTATAAGCGAATTCTGCGAGGCTTAAATATTTCACCCAACTGCCCTGAAAGTCGATAGCACACGCCCTTAACATATCCTTGAGAACTCGATTGACCCTCTCGGTCTGCCCATCAGTTTGCGGGTGAAAGGCGGTGCTGTACTTCAATCTTGTTCCCAATGACCGCTGCACACACTCCCAAAAGTGTGATGTGAATTTGGAGTCTCTATCAGAAATTATAGTCTTGGGGACTCCGTGCAATCGGACTATCTCACGGACATACAACCAAGCCAACTGATAACCGCTTTCGCGGCGTTGTAGTAAAACGGAGTCTAACCTTTCGGTTTTTCCCCGAGTGTCGTGTCTCTTGAGGAATGGCGGAGAAGTTTCTTAATTTAATTTTAGTCACGGGCTATCGCTAATTGTTGGAAGCTTTTTCAATATAGGAAAGTGATTTTGTTCTATATTACGCTAAATTATAACTAGGAGCAAGGTGCAATTTAAAGATTAATGTATAAATATTGAATATTCAAGGATGCAAATAAGGGCAATGAATTGAGTAATTAGAAATGGATATGTTCTTGGACCTCTTAATTAGGGAAATTAAAACTAAAATTGGACTAATAATTTCTTTCCTCATAGACAAGAATAGAAACTATCTTCATTAATTTATCCTATTTCTAGGTGTCATTAATGTGTTTAAAATGGTTGGCTTAAATTATTTTCTAAACCCATAGACAAGGTAGAAATAATTTTCCAATATTTTAATTAATAAAAATAGCCAAATTCATTAACTAGTTAAACTCTTTATTTTAGCAATTGAATTTATTTCTCATAGACAAGATGTAAATCCTTTTCATTAAATTATCCTATTTCTAGGCCTTATTAATGTGCTCAAATATGGTTGGCTTAAATTAATTTCTAATCTCATAGACAAGTTAGAATTAATTTTCCAAGAATTTAATTAATGAATATGGCTAACTATTATTAATTACTATTTCATCATTTCAAACAACTAGTCCAATTTATTAATTTTAACCCCTAATTTTAGGTCAACAAGTCAATCCATATTCCTTTTCTCAATTCATGCCCTAACAAATTTAGCTACTCATCACCATTTTTGCAATTAACAATATAATGATTAAATTCAACATTAACAAGGAATTAAACATGTATGATAGCAAAAATTAAACAAAAATTATATTCTGGAACAATAAACTTGTAGGAACTAAAATATAACTTTCTGGAATTTTTCACCAATTTTTGAACCTAAAATCCAATTTTTGACAACTAATTGATAATTTTCCCAATTTTAACTAGAAAATGCAAAAAGCAACTAAAAATATGCTAACTTCGTTATAAATTTTATTCTAGCTACTGGGAGTGATATTACTATGAATCAAACTGAAATTAAGGCCGAACTAATTTTTTTTTCTATTTTTCTAGTATTTATTCTAAATTATGAACTAATCTCAAATAATTACCAAAATTAATTAAAAATTACTTATGCTTCGTGAAAAATTAATTTATTCAGATAAATAACTACCTTGAGGCTAGTAAACAACTATATAATTAATTGGAATGAATTCAACAACAATAACTATTTTATTTAATTTTTGGAAGTAAATGCGAAATACTTGAAAAATAATCTGGAAATTTTCGAAGAACAGATTGAACAAACAAAGTGCAGATTCAGATTCTACTCGTTGAGAAGATGAAAATACATATAAAGAACTTACAATTTGGAGCTAAAATGAAGAAGATATGAAGATTTGAAGTTTCTCTCTCTCTAAGACCTTTGGAGCTCGAAAATGGAGGAAGAAAGAAGGTGTTTTGAACTGATTTAGGGTTGGAAGAGGTGTGTTTTAGTTGAGGAAAAATCGGGCTATTTATAGGAGAAATTTCCCCGAAGGCGGCCAACCAGGCGGCCGCCTTCCGCCTCTCTCCGGCCGCCTGCCGTCTTCGTCGCCGACAGCGGTCGGTGGCCGGTCCCCGTCAGCCGTAGGCGGCCACAGAGGGCGGCCGCCTTCCGTCACACATCGGCCGCCTGCCGTCTTTTCATTGTCAAATCGGATCGCGGCGGATCCCGGCGGATCCCGGCCGCCGCAGGCGGTCCAGCAGGCGGCCGCCTGCCGTCCTGTCTGGCCGCCTGCCGTCCCGTCTGGCCGACCGGTGGTTGGTTTCGTCCCCTTGTGCCGCAGGCGGCCACCGTAGGCGGCCGCCTTCTGTCCAGTGTCGGTAGCCTTCGGTCTTTTCCTGGTCCCGAGTCAAAGCGAGGTTGACTTCTGATTTTTCCCGTAGGCGGCCGCGAAGGCCTCCATTTTGGGCGCCTATTTGGGCGCCTTCGGCCATTTTTGTCTGGCAGATGCGGCTTTTCTTGCTCTTCATTTTTGTCTTCTGAATCACCTTGATAAAATGCTTGCTTCTTCCGGTATAAATGCATTTGTCACTCAAATTGACTCATTTTGTGCTCAATTGACCCGAAATCCCGCTAAACATATTATGGATGTGATTTTTACCTGATTTCATGAAACTTGAACCAAAATATATAAAATGTGTCTTTTCTTTCTATTTTCGTTCAAAAATCGCTTAAATTTGATAAGAAAAATAAGTTCAAAAATAGACTTATCACCAACTTTTCCACATTCATGGTTACCGCAATGGGAATAAAGTGGGCCGACTTGGTTAATCGGTCTACAATTACCCAAATGCCATCGAATCCTCCTGTGGTCTTTGGTAGGCCTACAATGAAATCCATTGATATGTCCTCCCATTTCCACTCTGGAATCTCAATAGGCTGCAACTCACCCCCCGGCCTCTGGTGTTCAACCTTTATTTGCTGACAGGTCAAACATGACTGTACAAACTTCGCTACGGCTTTCTTCATTCCTTTCCACCAAAAGCTTTGTTTGAGATCACTATACATCTTCGTTACACCAGGACGCATTGCAAAAGGTGTTCCATGAGCTTCCTTCAGAATCTTCTTCTTAAATTCCTCGACGTTTGGAATACACAAGCGCCCTCGGAATTTAAGCACACCTTTATCGTCAACCTGAAAGTCAGAGGACTTACCTTCGTGAATCCCTTTCTTGATTTCTACTAGATCACGATCTTCTTCTTGCTTGTTTCCCATATCCTCAAAAATTGATGGTGTTGCCATAATAGCCATCAAGCGTCCCTGTACCACCATCTCCAAACCAAATGCATCGATCTCCTTTCGTAGCTCAGGATGTATAGTCTTCATCAGAGCTATCGATGCATGAGTCTTCCTACTCAAAGCATCAGCAACTCTATTGGCTTTCCCTGGATGGTAAAGGATCTCACAATCGTAGTCCTTAACCAGTTCCAGCCACCTCCGTTGCCTCATGTTCAGTTCCTTCTGGGTGAAGATATACTTCAGACTCTGATGATCAGTATAGATCTTACATTGTACACCGTAAAGGTAGTGCCTCCAAATCTTTAGAGCATGAATAACTGCCGCCAATTCCAGGTCATGCGTTGGGTAGTTCTGTTCATAATCCTTTAGCTGACGAGAAGCAAAGGCAATGACTCTGTCATTCTGCATTAGAACTGCCCCCAATCCCATCTTCGAAGCATCACAGTAGATCACAAACTCTCCAGTTCCTTCAGGTAAGGCGAGTACAGGTGCAGAAGTCAAACACTCCTTAATCTTCTGGAAACTTTCTTCACACCTATCGGTCCATTCAAACCTCTTCCCTTTACGAGTCAAGGTTGTTAATGGAAGAGCAATTTTGGAAAACCCTTCCACAAACTTCCTATAATAACCCGCAAGACCCAAGAAACTCCGAACCTCGCTAGCATTCTTAGGTCGGACCCAATCTCTAACAGCCGAAATCTTGGATGCATCCACAGCGATACCTTCTTTAGAGATTACATGCCCAAGAAAAGCCACTTGACCCAACCAGAACTCACACTTCGAGAATTTGGCATATAGCTTATGTTCCCGGAGTGTACGTAATACAACCCGTAAATGTCCTTCGTGCTCCTCCTTGGACTTTGAATACACCAAGATATCATCTATGAATACTATCACAAATCTGTCCAAGTACTCACTAAAAACTCTGTTCATCAAGTCCATGAAAGCGGCGGGAGCATTGGTTAAGCCAAAAGGCATGACTACAAACTCATAATGTCCATACCTGGATCGAAACGCTGTTTTAGGAATATCCTCATTCTTAACTCTCAGCTGATGATATCCTGATCTCAGATCAATCTTTGAGAAAGTAGTGGCACCTTTCAGTTGATCAAACAAATCATCTATTCTCGGTAGGGGATACCTATTCTTGATCATAACCTTGTTTAACTCCCTGTAGTCTATGCACAACCTCATAGACCCGTCTTTCTTCTTCACAAACAACACAGGAGCTCCCCACGGAGAAAAACTGGGACGGATGAAACCCTTCTCGAGCAACTCATGTAGTTGCTTATGCAATTCCTTTAGTTCCGTTGGTGCCATACGGTAGGGTGCCTTGGATATCGGATTGGTTCCCGGTATGAGCTCAATCTCGAATTCTATCTCTCTTGGTGGAGGTAACCCAGGAAGATCCTCAGGAAACACATCTCGGAACTCCTTAACAATGGCTACTGTTTCAAGTTTAGGCTCATTCTCTGCAATTTTACTCACCACGTGAGCTAAGAATGCTTGACACCCACTCTGAAGATATCTCCTTGCCTTCACAATAGAGATTACTATCTTCTCCAATTTATGTGAATCTCCATGATAATCGAAAGGCTCTGTACCATCTGGTTCAAACCGTACATTCCTGGTTCGACAGCTGATGTAGGCAGAATACTTACTAAGGAAATCCATTCCCAATATCACATCGAAATCATTCATATCCAGCACTACCAAATCTGCGTATAACTCTCTCTCTGCTAGCAATAATGGTACTCCTCTCAGCCAAAGACTTGACCACATAGTCTCACCTGATGGAAGGGACACTGAAAAGCTATACTCTGGTTCTTCTTTTGGTCTCTCAATGTTATTTGCAAATGTTTTGGAAACAAAGGAATGTGTTGCTCCGGTATCAAATAACACATTAGCATTGATGTTTA